TAACCCAAGAGAAGACGGTAGGAAAAAAAGAACAAGTTGAAATACATTGAAATTTGAACGGAATAAAGATCTGTAAATACCTGAACATCAACGAGATCAGAACTTTCGGGATCGGGATTCGTCTTTATCTGCATTGCCATCCCTGACTGTTGAGCACATGTGACGTGGAAAGCTTTCAAACAGCTACGAGTTGAACACTGCAAGCATGCGCCCATCTTCTTCCTAAAGCCTTTGGAGTTATGACGATGAACAATGCGACGCATTTCATCCTTACTGGTAAATACTCTCAAGTCAAGCAAATTAAATTTTCCTACCTGCATACCAGACATTTTAACTTGCAACGTCGTTCCAAAGAAGCGTCTACACCTTCTATAGGTTCCAGGAAAACGGTGTTACCAAAGTGTACCTATAATATTGCAATGAAGTGGTAAGCTGTTCAGCCATTCCATATTAAGCCCAGATAATGTGAAATGTTTACAAGCAAATAGACAAGATAACGGTGGAAATGCGACTTAATTATTTGGGTAAATTTCGGGGACGTGATGAAGACACCTAAATTCCACCTTTTGCCAAACCATAATTACCTCATTCAGCCAGATAGCGCAAATCACATGTGCCCATCGTCCATCGCTAGTTTGCTTGAAGGCTCCACTAGTATTCGGACACAAACAACATTCCACCTGTGTCGACGGCGACAATTTACACCGGCGACACAGCCATTGTCCCTCAGGAATGTATGGCACTCCATAACAGTCCTGAGCAAAAGGAATAAGCAAATCTCTGTAGATTCTCTTCGCAAATAAATCAGCGAAAAGGGTTATCGAACAGTTCACTAGGTCCAAAACTTCCAAAACACAAACCTGATGAACTGCTATGTTACACATATCGCAGTATATTATCTGATTAACGTTATTTACATCCCCATCACCACAAACACAGCAAACATCATCACCATCCATAGAAGATCCGGGAACCATTGAGGGTGACCCTTTCACCTAAACAAGATAGATGAGACCCAAAACATTCTTCTTTTTTTTTTGCTAAAACTGTTCTTAACACGGTCAACAGGAGATTGAGATAAATGTTAGTTAACACAAGATTTCGTACTTCACTAGAAGTATAAGCATTTAATATGAGACCCACCACTTCAAAGCAGCTCTCCTTTTCAAGTCTGTCCATGACTTTTTCCATCAGCTCTGGCGTTATAAGTTTTTCCTTATTCTTTTTGCGAATTTTGTTCACGTTTTTTATCCAAAGGTAGTCCTGAAAATAAGAAAAAATTCTGGACACTTTTTTTGCTGCCATTTTCACCGAGATGATGAAAGCAGAAAAAGAAACATGATTTCACGCAGGCCACCATCTTTATAGAGTATGCTAGAAGTGAGCTTTGGTCATCCACATCCATAAGATTAGTATAAAAGGACCCAAATATCATTTCTAAGCTCCTCCATTGTCTCTACTGTCAATAACCGTTGTTTACATAAAACCATCAATCTACAATTCTATCCAATCGTGGGGGTAACATTTTAGATGCTAAAACTTTAACTTAAAAGGGTTTTTTCCAAAAAAATTTCACAAGAGATTGAAGAATAAACAGGATGAAACTACGAGACAGACCGGAATTTAGCAGAAAACTGAATTGCAATTGAAATTTTCTGACTCAATAACAAATGAATGAAGGAAAAGTGAAAAATAAATAACACACTCATTACATGCTTTGACATATAAACCTATAGAAATACGTACCTCTTCGTCGCAATCATACTCTACCATTCGATCATAATCGGATTTGGTTTTTTCCTTAAACTTGACAAATTCCTCAGGGCGGTTTTTATGGGGAAGAGCTGTAATTAGGGAATCCACGACTTTGAATTCAATCTTGGGCACGGAAATCTCGGCAGTCTTGAAATGCTGAAATAGTTGTGAGTCAATTTTTAGATCACATTCGTAAGTATTCCTCAAATCTACAACTTATGTGGAAGTTCAGAATACGTGCGGATTCGTTTTCGAAATGCACGATACATCTAAGCGTATTTACAAGGGACTGATTTCAAGTTTGAACAACTACTCATTCCACAAACTTGATCACAATGGCAATGCGTTCGATGCAGTTTGCAAAAAAAAA